GCCTTGGCGGGGAGAGCGCCCTCGTCGCCGGCAGCCAACCACTCGGAATGCTCTGCGACCGGGACGGACTGGCTGGCAGCGCGCAGCTGGCTGCGACCGTTGACTTGCCACGCGCCGCCACCAGTAGCGTCGTCGTCGCTCGTGACCCGGGCCGCATCGGCTTCCTCCCGACCCACCGCAGCAGCAGCGAGTGTCGTGACGGGCGTCGCGGACGAGTGACGCGTGGCAGGGGCAAAAGCAGACGGGGGCGCATCGCCTCTCGCAACGGCGGCAGCATCGTCATCGACCGTGTTAACAACGATCACTCCTGCCCGCCGCACTCCGCTGAAATAGCTTCCCCCGTGATCGTCTCTCCCATCCGGCACGCACGGCTGCGCGGAGCAGCGGAGCCAGGCGAAGGCGGAGTCGAGCACCGCCAGCACCTCCGCCTCGCGCGCGTCCAGCAGAGCGCGCAGCCGCGCCATCCGCTCCAGCTCGCGCAGCACTGCCGCACGGCTCATGGGGGCGGACGCAGCGGCGGGTGCTACGGTGGGGAAGTCGGCGGAGGATGCGCGAGACAAGGGGAGAGAAGGCAGGGCCCCTTTACGACACGGCGGGGCAGGGTCGTCGGGATCGTCGCTGTCCGCATCGTCGCGACGCGCGTGCGGCGGCGACGCGGAGGTGGACCAGCGGGGACGGCCGTCCATGGCTGACAGTGGCTGGGGCAGAGCAGAAACAGACGTGGAACACGATCAAGAGTGGAGGGGGAAGTGAGTCGTGAGGTGAGTTTGAAAGTGGTGTCGCTCGAGTGGTACAAGTGCCTGAAAACGGAGCACAAATGCTTCGCTCGAAAATGGCAGCCAGTAATGACACCCCTCCAGTTGATGGGCGCACATTTCCAAGTCGCGCGCGCCATGCCATGCGCACGGCACAGCTGGGCTGGAAGGGGGACCAGCAGCATGCCGCGCGTCCGCGAGATACCAAACAGAATGGAGCTAAGTTGAGAAGTCTGCCCCGTCAGCAGCTGGCCTCGCAGCATCAGCGCCAGCCTCGGTTTTTGCCTCGGCCTGGCACAAGCGTGCGAGACGGCTTTGAACGTCTGGGATTGGGCTTTGCGCGCCAAGGTTGAACCTCGGTAACCAATGGGTGCAGCTGGTGTCGAGTGACCTGGCGGGGCGTCATCGAAATAGATCTCCAATTGAACCCCAGTTTTCCTGGTCTTTGCCTTCGGTCAAATAACCAATATGACACCGTAATAAGTGTAGTGTACAGTGAGCACAATTCAAACTCGCGAAGTGTATCTTCCGTTCAATTGGCCCTTCATCAGTCTCACAACCACGTCCTTGTATTAACACATACATGCGTTAGCACGATCACAGCTGCACAAACAACGCCATGCGCCACAAGCAGCCCATTCCCCCATCCCCTTCACTTCGCCCACACCCACCACCATTGCACCACCACATTCCCCCACCGCCACCATCCGCCAGCCGCCATGACCGCCACCTCCATCTCCGCCGCCTGCTGTGAATTCCTTCTGCCACGCCGCCGCCTCGCCCCTCACGCACCACCATTCCCGAGGCCCGCCTTCGGCCCGTCCGTGCCCTCAAATTCCCCCACGGTGGGCCGACCGCCGCGCGCTCACCATGTTGCCGTTCCTCGCGCGCAATCATCGTCGCACGGCAATCACGACGATCGCCAGGAGCTAGAGCAGCGAGCCACGTCTCTATCCCGCCGGGATGCCCTTCTCTCCCTCGCGCTGCTCCCCCCCGCTCTCTCCGCCTCCGCCCTCGTCGCCCCATCGCCGTCCATCGCCGCGTCGCCGCCGGCCCCCGACACGACGGTGACGCAGCGCGCGTTCCTCGACTTCGCCCTGTGCCCCACAGCCGTGCGCCTCGACCGCACGCTGGGCGACGACACGCTCATCTGCACCGACGGCGCTCCGCTGGGGCGCGTCGTGCTGGGGCTGTACGGGCGGGCGGCGCCCGACACCGTGGCGCAGTTCGCGCGCATGGTGGCGGGGGAGGCGGGGTCGACGTACAAGGGGTCCGTGATCCACCGGTCGCTGCCCGGGCAGTACGTGCAGGCGGGCCACCAGGGGCAGGTGGCGCGGGGGGACGTGCCCCCGCCCACGCTGCTGCCGCCCAACCGCGACACGGTGGCGGCGGCGTCGTTCGCGCTGAGCCACCTGCGGCCCGGCACGGTGTCGCTGTGCGTGGGGGAGAACGATGATGAGGAGCGCGCGCGGGCGCGCAGCAGCTACCGCAACGTGGAGTTCCTCATCACCACCGGTAGGGGGGGAATGGAGGAGGGGCGGCGAGAGGGGTTGGGCAGTGTGGGGCGACGGGTGGGTTGGGCTGGAGAGCGGGTATGAACAGCCGCGCCTTTGCTTGCCTTGCGTGGTGGTGCTATCTGACTGCAGCACTGGCCTTGCCACCATGAGAGGTGATAAGCTGTGGTCAATGCCCCCTCCTTGCTCTCCCATGTCGCCACCCACGCCACCATGGCCGTGGGTGATCAACTGTCACGTCTAGGTCATTGTGTGCCACCAAAAATGCGCTCCTTGTGTTTTCCAGGTGACTCTACAGTTGCCAATCATCCGTCCTTGTTCCTCCCTTGTCTTTCTTCTGTGTGTCCCTCCTCATCTCTCTTCCCCCCTCCGGCCCCTCGCCCCCCCCAGGCCCTGGCCCCGCCACTCAGCTGGACGGCGACAACATAGTCTTCGGCACCGTGCTGCAAGGTGGGCACGGCCAGCAGGGGAGGGGGGGTGTGTGTATGGTGGGAAGGGGAGGGAATGGCGGTGCAAGAGGGCAGGTGGCACGTGACTGGCACGTGAGTGGCAGGGCAGGGCAGTGGTGCGCATCCATCCCTCGCCGCACCGTGTGTCCTTCTTCTTCACCCCATCTGCCTCCACCAGCCTTCTCTCCTCCCATCTCTCTCAACCTGCTACATCTGAATCCCCCCAACCCCATGCTCTGTCCGCCACCCCCCCACCTCCCCCCCCCTTGCCAGGCATGGAGGTGATAGCAGCGGTGGCGGCGGTGCCCACCTTCCAGCCCAGTGACCGCATCCGCCAGTTCAACGACTTCGCCACGTTGCTAGGGGACGACCGCGCCGCCAAGGGCAGGGGCACGTGGAACCGCCCGCTTAAAGCCATCGTCATCACCGACTGCGGGCTGCTGGACTGACCATGAACTATGGGGGTGCAGGGAGGGGCCATGACATATTCCCCCTGCAAACCCCCATGCATGCATAACCCCATGCATGCATGCACATTCAGCCGAAATCGCTGCCAACTGCTCTAGCGAGGCACACAGAGCACGCGTACATGCCATGTTTGAACCCCAGCCAGTCGCTGCCCCGTTCTGGAGGCACACAGTTTTGATCAGTCTGGTATTCGGTCAGCCCGGGTGACCGGCGGCCGCACCAGTAGCTGGGCATGGTGCCCAGCCCAGAGTCGCTGACCCACCTGCTCCCCTCCCCGTCTTTCTCGGAGATGTTCAGAGGGGTTATGGAAGACTTTCTTTAGGTAGGAAGAGTGAATTTGGAAAACACAGAAGGGAGAACAGTTGTCCAGCCCAGCTGCATCTCTGGGTGCAGTGCTGATTGCGAATATTCTTCTTCTGACGTACTAAGGGCATGCATCCTAGGAAGCTGCGGAGGGCACGGGTGGCGCAGGTGGGGGTGGTGAGTCGACTGCCTTCTCCGCCTCCTTGTTCACGACCTGACCACGCACAGGCGCACAGAGAGAGAGAGAGAGAGAGAGAGAGAGAGAGAGAGAGAGAGAGAGAGAGAGAGAGAGAGAGAGAGAGAGAGAGGGGGGGGGGGGGAGAGAGAGGGGATACAAACAAGCATGGCCATGCAGTGAGGGGGAAGAGGCCCATGCAGGGAGAGGCGCATGGCTGCAAGTGGCACACTGGATGAAGCATGCCGGGTGGGCAGGACTGCATGCACATATGCTCTCACATGAGCACATGTGCATCTGATGGGGGCATGGCTGCATGTATGGGCGCATGTGCATGTGATGGGGGCATGGCTGCATGTATGGGCGCATGGTCATCACGGGGCGCACCTTGTTGTTGATGAGGTTGTGCAGCGCGATGATGGAGCGCACCAGAGACGCCACGTACACCGCCAGCATCATGTCGTTGGTGCGCACTGGGCACGCGGGGCGTGGCGCACGGGAGGAACAGCACGAGGAGAGCATTGAGGGATTGAATGGGGCAACAGGGGGGGGGAGGGCAGCATGGATGAAACCAGGGGGGGGGGGGGGGGGGGGTGTGGTGGAAGAAAGGCAGGACGAGTCTATGCGCACGGCATGCACCCGCCCTCACCAGCGAAGGCCTTGACGAGCTCACCAGCGAAGGCCTTGACAAGCTCACCAGCGAAGGCCTTGACAAGCTCACCAGCGAAGGCCTTGACAAGCTCACCAGCGAAGGCATTGACGAGCTCACCAGCGAAGGCATTGACGAGCTCACCAGCGAAGGCCTTGACGAGCTCACCAGCGAAGGCCTTGACAAGCTCGTCCACATTGAGGTTGGGCAGCAGGTTGAAGACGTCCTGCACGCCGTACAGAATGTCCGCGCGCAGCGGCAGCTTGCCCGCCACCACCAGCTCCAGGTACGACCGCAGCTGCCGCAGCCGCGACTCCAGCCCCCGCAGCGCCACCATCTTCGCGCTCACCTGGGTTGGGGGGGGGGGGGGGATGGAGCAGTGGGAGCGCGTGATTGCATGGTGCTTGGGACCTGAACCGCAGGAGGGTCTTCCAGCAGTGCAGCAACGGTGCATGGGCATGTCTGTTGGCAGTAGCAAAGGCACATGGGGAACAGGGCACGGCTGTGGGTTTAGGTATTAATACCTAATATGCACGATATTGGGTGGCATGGCCTCACCTCCGACGCCAGCGTGCTGATGGTCGAATCCTTCACATCGCGAAGCAAATGCTCCACGCCTGAGCAGGTGCGTGAGAGGGGGGGGGAGGGGAGGAGGGGTGGGAGAGGGAGGGTGAAGGCAGGGAGGAGAGAGAGATAGTTCTGGACAGGGAAGAGAAGAAGCAGGGAGAATTTCTTGGCTGGGGACCACTTCATACTACCCTGCTACCACCGTCTTGCCCACAGTGTTACTCGACCTCCAACCCCACCGCACTGTTCCCCTGCCTCCGCCCCTATCGCTGACTCACCGATTTTGCAGGGTGTTTTTGAGAATTCTCAAAAACACTGTTCCCCTGCCTCCGCCCCTATCGCTGACTCACCGATCTCCTCTGCCTCATACGCCCCAATCTCCGAGGAGATGTGCACAAACGCCTTCTGACTCTTCTGCGTGCTGTCCTGAAACACATGCCATTCCATGCCACGCCATGCCATGCCACGCCATGCCATGCCACGCCACGCCATGCCATGCCACGCCACGCTATGCCATGCCATGCCATGCCATGCCACGCCACAACATGGTCAGCAGGTGACACGAATGGTGCAAGAACAAGCCATGCAGCACTGTGCCGTGCTGCCACAAGGAGAACTGCAAGCTGCAGCCACATGACTGACGACGGTTCATCATCCCCAACCCGTAGGTGATTTTTGAGTCAACTCAAAAATCATCCCCAACCCCCACACTGCTCGCCTCAACTCCTTGACGTCCTCGCCTTAAAGCCCCTGCTCTCACCTCCTTGACGTCCTCGCCTTAAAGCCCCTGCTCTCACCTCCTTGACGTCCTCGCCTTAAAGCCCCTGCTCGCACCTCCTTGACGTCCTCGCCTTAAAGCCCCTGCTCTCACCTCCTTGACGTCCTCGCCTTAAAGCCCCTGCTCGCACCTCCTTGACGTCCTCGCCTTAAAGCCCCTGCTCGCACCTCCTTGACGTCCTCGCCTTAAAGCCCCTGCTCGCACCTCCTTGACGTCCTCGACGGTGCAGTAGGCCTGTGAGGGGATGGCGAGTTCGCGCGGCTGCACGTCGATGATCACCAGCACCGGGTTGCTGCAGTAGCTGGCGGACCGCAGGGGGGCACGCGCACAGGTGGATGGAGGAACGGGTGGGTGGGTGGGTGGAGGAGTGGCAGGAGATGCAGGGAGGGCGCGGCCACGCATGGCAGCGCAATGGCGGACGCGAGCAGGCAGCAACGCAAGGAACCCTTGAGCCCCCCGGGCGCGGCAGCTCACTTGTAGAAGAGCTCCTGGATGTCCAGGTCGCTCTCGCGGATCTTGGGGCCCGTGGAGTACCACCCCACCACGCGCTCCTTGGCTGCACGCAGGGCACGCCGTGAAAGGAAGGAAGCAGGGAAGCAGGGAAGCAGGCCATGGCGCGTGGGTCGCGTGCTTGGGAGGATGGCCGCGTGCACGACTAGCAGGCCTCGGTGAAGCACGCAGCAGCATGTGCCGGGCGCGAATAGGCCGTGTGCGAGTAAGATGCGGCCTACCAGGGCCGAGGCGCGTGGGCATGGCGACGCACCGTTGATCTTTTTGAACATGGCGAACATGGCCTCGTGGTAGTTGTGGTCCAGGAACCAGATGCTCGCATCCTTGTCGTCCTCCTCGAACGGCACTGCACGCACCGCATGGCACGCACCAACCACGCACGCATGCACGCGCGCACGCATGCACGCGCGCACGCACGCACGCACACACGAAGCACGAAGCACGAAGCATGAAGCAGGAAGCACGAGGGAAGGGGCGCGGGAGGGCATGAGTTCCAGAGATGCGGCGGCGACGCATGAGCTGCGGTGCGGCAACCGAAAGAACGAGGTCCTGGGAGCTATCGGAGTGCTTTGAGGTGACCCCTGGGACCCGCTCAACACCCTCCTCCCCTCGCGCCCCGCCCTGACCTGCGTAGCTGTTGGTGACGTCGATGCGGCCGCGCGCCGTCTCGCCGAGCAGCACGCCGAGCACGCGTTTGTGCGTGTCCTTGGCGACGCGGTTGTAGTGGTCGACGATGCTCAGCAGCACCAGCGGGTGCACCACCACCTTCTCGATCCCCGTCGATTTCACCATGCTGCCCAACGGTTACTCAGTTGATGGCACCGGGACGACGAATTCTGAGTGCAGATCTGACGAGCTCCGAACGCGCGGATGCTAGGATTCGAGTGGAACGCTGGATCTCGGCGAGTGATTCGGCAGAAAGTGAGAATTCGGGTGCGACACGATTTAGCGGCTCATGCGGGTGACGGCAGATGAATCGAGGGATGAGCGAGAGACGGCGAGGGGAAAAGTGAGGAACCTTGAGATTGAGAAGGCTTGGCGAATACGCGATAGAAGCGTCTTCGTCTCTAAATAAGCTACTCTGTTTTGCTCCTCCACTTCATACATTCTCGATTCTTCGATTTGTGCGGTGATTCACTTCGTGGGGAACTGTTTCGGTAACATTTGCGATGTGAAAATCGCCAAAACTGCTGGCCGTCGCCGAAAATATTTGCTCAACCTCCTGCTCACCCCATGATGCACCCCCGTCCTCCCCCACCCCCCATCCATTATTATCACCTTCGCCCGCCACTTATCCACAACTTGAGCTGTTCGTTCTCAGTCACCATTATCCAGACGAGCTAGTCCTTTTCATTTTTGTCCGTCGCCTCGCATCCGCCATGCGCTAGACGTGGGAATGTGCCCGTCGCGGGCACATCCACTCTCCACGCCACATCCTCTCTCGGCGGCACATTAGATTCGTTCCGCACAAACCCGCGAGCTGTTCTGTCCTCCTGTTTTTTCCCGCCATGGCACTCTGGCGGATTCAGGCGCTGCTGGGCACGACGCTCGCGCTGCTGGCGGGGTCGTTCAACGCGGGCAGCATATCCACCATGGCGGAGGCGGGATCGCAGTTCGGCGCGCAGCTGGCGTGGGCGTTCGCGTTCGCGCACGGCGTGACGCTGCTGCTCAACCTGCTCGCCATGCACGTCGCCTTCGTCACGCGCAAGTCGCTGCCACTCGTGAGCCGCGCGCCCCCACCCCGTCCTTTCCTGGCTTAGTTCGCGTCACCCCTCGCTTGCCCGTCTGTCCCACACGTCCGTCTCTCGCCTCTGCAGATTTCTGCCGTCCGGATCTCGTCTGACGCCCGGCTCCGCCCATTGCCTGCTGCCGGCCCTTCCGCCTCCCCCCGCAGGTGATCGTGCGCGAGTATCCGCGCGCGTTTTGCCGCCTCGTGTGGCTCATCTGTGAAGCGTCAGTGCTCTGGTTCGACCTCGTCACGGTAGGCCTCTTCCCAACCCTTCACATTCCCCAAACACCGCTTTTCCGTGCACCTTCACGCCCCTCTGTTTCTTCCATCCACCTCCATCTCGCCTCTCCATGGCCTCAGCTCGTCCCTTCCACCGAAATGGCACGTGATCCCCCCAACCCCCCCCCCCCCCCACCGCTTGACGTCACTCGACCTTACGCCGCCCCACCTTGCTCGATTTGCAGCAACACGCGCGCCTCCTCCTTCTCTCTCCCCCCCCCCTCCTTCTTTCAGGTGCTGGGCAGTGCGGTGGCGCTGCAGCAGCTTCTGGGGGTGCCGTTGAAGGCGGCGCTGCTGCTGGCGGCGGGGTCGGGCGTGCTGCTGCTGCAGCTGCCCATGGACCAGGTGGGGGGCGACGGGTGGGAGGGGCTGCCCGCCGGGTGTGACTGCTTTGCTGGTTGTTTCCTCGTGTGTGCCCGTGCTGCTCCGTGCTGCTCCGTGCTGCTCCGTGCTGCTCCGTGCTGCTCCGTGCTGCTCCGTGCTGCTCCGTGCTGCTCCGTGCTGCTCCGTGCTGCTCCGTGCTGCTCCGTGCCGCGTCGTGCTGCTCCGTGCCGCGTCGTGCTGCTCCGTGCCGCGTCGTGCTGCTCCGTGCCGCGTCGTGCTGCTCCGTGCCGCGTCGTGCTGCTCCGTGCCGCGTCGTGCTGCTCCGTGCCGCGTCGTGCTGCTCCGTCCCGCGTCGTGCTGCTCCGTGCCGCGCCATGCTGCTCCGTGCCGCGTCGTGCTGCTCCGTGCCGCGTCGTGCTGCTGCTCATATCAGCCGGCTTCTCTTCCCCTTCTCCGCTACACCTCACACCCTCTCGCTCCCACTCTATCGCTCCTTCTCACTCTCCCCTCCCTTTCACACCCCCCCCCCTCCCCCTCTCCCCTCTCTCACCCCCGCAGGCGCATCAGGTGGTGTCGGTGTGCGTGGCGTGCCTGCTGCTCACGCTGCTCTGCGTCGCCCTGCAGTGCGTGCTGGCGGGCCCCGCCTTCCTGCTGGCGTCGCTCTCCTCCGCGCTGCTGCCCGCCATCCCGCCCTCCTCACTGCACCTCGTGCTCGCTGCTGTCGGCGCCCTCGCCCTGCCGCACCGCTTCCTGCTGCTCTCCAGCCTCGTCATCCAGGTGCGCGCCCTCCCACCCCTCACCATCCAGGTACCTTGCTGCGCCTCTCCCATCTCGCCATCCAGGTACCGGCTCTCACACATCATTGAGGTACCTGGCTACCTCACACATCCCTCTCGTCTCGGCCTCCATATCTCCCACCCTTCCTCTCCTTCCCCTGTCACTCACCCGCCTCCTCTCGCCCTCCTCGCTCCTGCCTCTGCCGCCCACCTCCCAGGACGACCCAAGTGCAGACGACCTCGCACAGTCACCACCTGCCACGTCATCACCCCGTGGCCCCTCCGACTCTTCCTTCCTCCCCCCAGACGCCCCCCTCGCCCCAGCCTCCCCCTCCTCCCCCTCGTCCCTGTCCGCCTCCTCTTCATTCCGCGCGTCAGCGCCATCCCCCCTGCAGCAGCAGTACCGCCGCGACTTCATCCGCGCGCAGCTGCTGGCGGCCGCCGCCACACTCGCTGTGCTGCTGGGCGCTGCTGCCGTGGGGCAGGGCGGGGGCGAGGGGGAAGGGGCATGCGCGGACGAGGAGTTTCAGGGCATGGGGGGCGGAGATGGGGGGGAGGGCGGAGCAGGGCGGGTGGTGCGGCTGGGGGGCGCGTACCGGCTGGTGGAGCAGGTGCTGAACGCCAAGGTGGCGCCCGCCTTCTTCTCCCTCGCGCTGCTCGCCTCCTTCCACCTCTCCTCCCCCACCAACACCTACGCCGGCCAGCTCGCTGCCCGCACCTTCGCCCTGCTGGACCTGCGCCCCGCGCAGCGCTTCCTCCTCACGCGCGCGCTCACCCTCCCCCTGCTGCTGCTGCTCTCCCTCGCCCTCGGCGACGCCGCCACGCTCCTCCTGCTCTCCCACTCGCAGCTCCTCCTCGCGCTCCTTCTGCCCCTCGCCGCAGTCCCTCTCGTCCGCCTCGCCTCCTCCCCCGCGCTCATGGGGCGCCACCGCATCGGCCCCGCTCTCGAGCTCACCGCCTGGGCCGGGTGCCTGTCTGCATGCGCGCTGACTGTCTGGTTCCTGGGGGACGCGCTCCTCCGCTTCGCCACAGCAGAGGGCGCCGCAGGGGGCGCGGAGGGCGACGACATGGGTGGCATGGGGCTGTGGGAGTGGGCGCTGGCGGGGGAGTTCCTGGGCGCGCATGGGGGTTACGAGGACGGGGATGCAGAGGGGCTGGCCGTGGGGCTCTCGCCCTCCGCTGTGTGGCGCAACGTGCGGCAGCTGCTGGGCGTGTTTGGGGGCACGGCGCTGGTGGGCGGCATGGTGGGCGGGCTGCTGTGGCTGATGGTGCTGCCGCTGCGCTCCGAGGACGAGCAGCAGCACCGCCTGCTGCTGCAGCAGCCCGCCACGCCCTCCCTCTCCGCGCCCTCCCCCTCCTCCGCCTCTTCCGCGCCTGCCTCTCTGCGCCGCCCGCGCCCCGCTCCCCTGGCGGCAGCGCAGGGCAGGCGCGGGGGCGACGCCAGGTGGGGGGGGAAGAAGGAGGGGAGGGGGGCGGGGGGGGCGACGTGGGAGCTGCCTCGGCCGAACGCGTCCCCAGTGTCGGTGCCGCTGCCCTTGCTGCTGGGTGACGCGGACCGGGACGCGGACGCAGCGGAGGGGGGCTCGTGGAACAGCGCGCTCAGGAGGAGGGCTCAGGCGCAGCAGCGGCAGCAGGGGCAGCAGCGGCAGCAGGGGCAGCAGGGGCAGGACAGGCAGGTGGCGGGAGAGGGTGGGAGGGTTGGTGCATCAGACGGAGTAGGCGTGTATGGTGGCAGCAGTGGCGGCAGTGGTAGTGGGGACGGGGAGGGCAAGAGGGTGCAGCGAGCAGCGTCGGCGTCGGGGTATGTGGTGGACAGGGTGGTGGAGCGGGGGGGGGCGGGGAGGGGGTGTGGCAGGAGGCGCGGGGGGGGAGAGGGGCTGGCAGATGGAGGGGCGGGCGGGCATGGTGGCAGCAGTGGCTGATGAGTGGGTGCAGACGAGCGAGGGGGGCATGAAGGCAGGCCCGCATCGGGGGGAGACACCCCCCGGCCCCGCTGCTGTGCCTGCTGTGCTTGCTGTGACAGCGGCAGCAGCAGCTGCAGCAGGTGCGGCAGCAGTAGCAGCAAGTGCAGAGGCTGGGAAGGCAGCGGAAGAGAGGCGCGGCCGAGGCAAGGCGGCTGTGGGTGGTGGCGAGCCCATGGTGGCTCACGGGGTGGAAGGCGAGGGGCGTAAGAGTGAGCGTGTGCCGCTGCCGGCACCCGCACAGGTTACACCCGCACAGGTTACACCCGCACAGGCTACACCCGCACAGGCTGCACCCGCACAAGCTGCAACAACCGCTCCGATTTCATCTGCTGTCAAGGTTTCGACTGCTGACAAGATTTCATCTGGTGACAAGGTTTCAACTGCTGACAAGGTTTCAACTGCTGACAAGGTTTCATCTGGTGAAACGGTTTCGTGTGTTGAGGAGGTGTCATGCTTGACCGATGCAGCGCCCATGATGGGGGACGCAGCGGCCATGCGCGGAGACGAGGGCGCGGAGGGGCGCAAGATGGGGGACGCAGAGGAGGGCAGGGAAGGGGTGATATCAGGAGAGGAGGGAGCGTTGGGCGAGGGAGGTGAGGAAGCAGCAGAGGAGGGCAGGGATGGGGAGGAAAGGGAGGAGGAGGAGGAAGAGGAGGAGGAGGAGGTGGAGGTGGTTCCCCTGGATAGAGCGCCCACGCTGGCGGATGGCATGGGCAGCGGCACACGTGGCAGAGGCAGGGGCGGTGGGCGGGAGGACAGTGGCAGGGGGATTGGGGAGAATGGGGTCGCAGCACGGCTCAGCGAGGGGGACGCGGAGGGCGGGGAGGTGAGTGAAATGGGGGGAGAGGGGGGCGGATTGCGGGAGCCTGGAGAGAAGGAAGAGGAGGGAGGGGAGGAGGAGAGGCGGGATGCTGTTATAGCTGCAGAGCAGGCAGGTGAGGGAAAGAGTGTGGCAGAGAGTGCAGGTATGGCGCAAGGGAGTGTGGAGCAAGGAGAGGAGGGAGGGGCGGGAGAGGAAGCACAAGGAAAGGAGGGAAGGGAAGGAGAAGAAAGGGGAGGAGCAGAGCGTGAAGTTTTAGTGAAGGCTGGCGAGGACAGTGAGATGAGTATGTCGATGGGCGATAGCACCGGGAGTGGGAATGGGGAGGGGCAGGATGGACGGGAGAAGGAGGTGGAGGCGACAGGGGGAACGGTGGAGGAAAGTGGGGAGACGAGAGAGGAGGGAGAGGGGAGGGGGGGAGGAGAGGGGAAAGAGGAGGGGGGGGAGAAAGAGGAGGTGGGGAAGAAAGAGGAGGGGGGGAAGAAAGAGGAGGGGGGGGGAGAAGTGGATGGGGTATGGGGGGAGGAAGTGGAGATGAAGGAGGAAGGGGAGATGGGAGTGGGTGGGGAGAAGAGGGAGGGTGGAGAAATGCACGTGGAGCAAGGAGTTGGGGAAGATGCCAATGCGAGGGAGGCGAGGGAGGCGAGGGAGGCGAGGGAGGCGAGGGAGGCGAGGGAGGCGAGGGAAGCAAGGGGGGCAGCGGAGGACCAAGTGGTAGAGGGCAGGCGAGAGGGTGGGGCGGATGGGGCGGTGGCGCAGCGGGGAGAGGGTGTGCAGGAGGGGAGAGGGGCGGGGGCGGAGGGGAAGCAGGAGGTGCGGGAGCAGGTGCATGTGCAGGTGCCGGCACCAGTGCCTGCGGCAGGGGTTGTGGCAGAGGCAGTGGATGCGCGTGAGGGGGGCTGTGAGGCGAGCGATGTGGGTCCCACGCATGCAGCCATGGCCGAAGAAGAGTCTCTGGGCGAGGAGCAAGGAGGGCATGCCGTGGGCAATGCAGGCAAGGAGGAGCGGGAGGGTGGGGCGGGGAGAGGGGAGAGGCGGGCAGAGAGGGAGGCAGCGGAGGAGGGGCTGGTGGCAGGGGGCAGCGCGGAGGCGAAGAGGCCCAGGGTGGGCGAGGGCGATGGGGGGCACAAGGATGGCGGGGTAGGGGCGGAGGGTGCGGGGGAGATGGAGGTGGAGAAGAGGGTAGTGGCCGTGGGAGGGGTGGTGGCCGTGGGGGGAGTGGCGGCAGTGGGAGGGGTGGTGGCCGTGGGAAGCAGTGCAGGCGAGGGGGGTGGGGTTGAGGGCATGGCAGTAGCAGCAGAGCCGCCGCCAGAGCAGGCGCCGCCTGTGCCTGCTGCTCTCTCTGCGACCGCCGCCTGTGCTGCAGCAGCAGTGCCGGCACCACCTGTGGCAGCAGCAGCGGCAGCTATAGTAGCAGCAACGGGTGCAGCAAGCATGGCAGCAGGTGCGGATGCGGGCAGGCTGGAAGCGGTGAAACCGCAGCATAGCCAGCACCACCACCAGCACCAGCACCATCAGCAGCAGCAGCATCACCTGTCCCGTTCCAACCTGTCCAAGTCCCCCCCTCCCTTGGACTCCGCCCCCCTGCTCCCCGCGCCTCTGCCTGTCTCCCGCACGCCCTCGCCCCCGTCCGCCCCCACTGCGCCCTTCCCCGGGCCCCCCAGCAGCGTGGGCAGTCCGTGTGGGTCGGGATCACTCGTTGACCTCCTGCACGGGCACGCGAACCACCGCGCACACTCCTCGCTGCTCTCCGCTGCTGCTGCCACTGCTGCCAGGGGCAGTGACGGCGATGGGCTGGGTGCCTTGCCTCCAGGGCTTGGGGGGGGGGGCATGGGCGGCAGTGGCAGCATGGGTGGCAGTGGCAGTGGCAGCTTGTCGCGCGTGTCTGGCTTGGGTCGGGGCGCGCGGCGGCAGTTCGCGGCGATTCTGGACGACTTCTGGGGTGGGCTGTTCGACCTGCATGGCCAGCCCGTGCCGCTGCCCGCTGCCCGCACTGCTGCTGGCGGCGGCAAGGGCGGGGGCAAGGGTGCAGGGGATGGGGGCAAGGGGAGGAGAGGCGGGGCGGATCACATTGGGGGTGTGGGAGGGGCGGCAGGCATGGGAGTGGGGGCAAATGCAAGCTCTGGCATGCTTGGTGCTGCTGGCGGTGGTGCTGGTGCTGCCGCTTCAGCTGCCAGTGGACCGCCTTTCCCACCGGCCTTGCCCTCAGAGGACCATCTCTTCTCCCCCGACCCTCTCCCCGGCTCGCTCCCCCTGCCTCTCACCCGCCGCACCTCACTCGATGCCTCCTCTTCCTCGTCCTTCCCCCTGCACGACCCCTTCCTCTCGCACGACCCCTTCTCCTCCCGCCCTGCCCTCTCCCGCCCGTCCCCCTCCATGTCCCCCCTGCTCCCCTCCGCCCCCCCCCGCCCCCCCTCGGAGCGGCAGTACAGCACGCTATCTCACCTGCCCAAGTTCTCGGACCTGCCCCCCCAGCAGCAGCACTCGCTGCTGTCCGCGCAGCCCTTCCTGCCCTCGCTGCCCTCGCTCTCCTCGCCTGGCGCCACCCCCAGGGACGTGGAGGGGCCCAGCCGCTCCACGCCCAACCTCTATGCTGACCTGCTGGCGCAGGGCTATGGGGGGCGGGCGGGCATGGGAGGGGGAGCAGGGATGGGGCAGGGCGCAGGGAGGGGTGCGTTTGGCGCCGTTGGGTCGCCTGCCATGGGCCTGGCGTCGTCCCCTGCTGCTGGGCTGCTGGGTGGCGCCAGGGCTGCTCCCTTCACTCCCCAGCACCCCTCATCCTCCTTCTTCTCCTCCCCGCCGCACCCACAGCAGCAGCAGCAGCAGCAGTGGCAGTGGCAGCAGCAGCAGGCGCAGCATATGGATGGCATGGGCATGGGCATGGGCATGGGCATGGGCATGGGCATGGGTGTGGGTATAGACATGGGCAGAAACGAGCGCCTGAATCAGCTGGCGCAGAGCTATGCCAGTTTTGGGCCATCCGAGGCCATCACCGGCACCAACCCGCACGCCCTCCCCCACTCCCACATGCACCAGCTGCTCGGACCCTCCCCCTCCGCTCCTCCCGGCTTCCCCTTCCCCCGCCACCCCTCCCCGCCCGCGCCCACAGCAGGGCCGCCATGGGGGGCAGGGGCAGTGGGGGCGGGGAGAGGGGGGGCGGAGTGGATGGGCGATGGGGGCAGCAGTGGCGGTGGCAGCACGTTTGGGGGGCCTGGTAACCACTTGGAGTGGCAGCAGCAGCAGCAGCAGCAGCAGCAGCAGCAGCAGCAGCAGCAGCAGCAGCAGCAGCAGCAGCAGTACGGGCAGGGGTTGGGGCAGCATGGCATGGCTGCTGTGAAACCCATCGGGCCCCCCACCCACCGCCTGCAGCTCGAGCAGCAGGGCAGCAGCAGCAGCATTGGCAGCAGCACCGACAGCAGCAGCACGGCGCACTCCTCCCTGTGGTCCAGCAACCCCCGCGACATGCTGTTCGGCACTCACTCCGGCCCCATCTCCTCCTCCTCCCTCTCCTCCTCGCCCTCCTCCTCCACCCCTCCCTCTGCCCTGCCCACTCACCTCCAACCGAACAAACCCGCACCGTCAACCTCGCCTGGCCCCCCCAAGGCAGCGGCAGCGCCCCCGTCAGACGAGGAGCGGCGCATGGACCGCCTGCGCGCCTGCCTGCACCGCCTGCTGCGCCTGGACGGCAGCGACTGGCTCTTCCGCTACGACACGGGCAGCGACGAGGACCTCGTGGCCGCTGTCGCGTACCGGGAGAAGCGCCTGGCGGGGGACGTTGCTGCCGCTGTGGCCGTGGGGCTGAGCGCGCACGGGGGGGGCGGAGGGGGCAGTGGGAGCGGGAAGTGGGGGGGGATACTGGAGGGGCATGCGCATGGGGGGCAGGGAGGGGGCGGGGGGGGAGGAGGGGGAGGGAAGGAGGCGGAGATGGAGCTGCCGCCGTCGATATGGGGGTGTGGGGCGCAGTGCGTGTGGGGCCCGCTGCTGGTGGTGTCGTTTGGCGTGTGGTGCGTGCACCGCGTGCTCGAGCTCTCGCAGCTGGAGAGCCGGCCGGAGCTGTGGGGCAAGTACACCTACGTGCTCAACCGCCTGCAGGTGGGACAGCATAATCCGCTCACCCACGCATGTACACAACCCACGCATCAGCCCGGGCGTTTTGAGTCAGCCCATGCCTGCAGCACCCCACCTTTACACAACCTCTCTTCCCAAAACCCCCCCCCAAACCCCCCCCCCCGCCCCCTCCTCAGGGCATACTGGACCCGGCCTTTTTCCGTCCTCGCACCACGCCGCGCCTGTGCGCGTGCTACGGCGACCGGGCGGGCCTGCCTGCCCTCTCAGCGCAGGCGGCGTTCCACGGGGCGCTGCTCTCCGCCATGCTCGGCGCCCAGCTGCCCCTCGCCAACCCCTCCTGGCCCCTGGGCGCGCCCCCGGGGCAGCCCAAGCCGGCGTCCGCGTCGCTCTTCCTGGAGCGCATCCGCGAGGTGGAGGTGGCGGTGGGCGCGCGCAAGGGGCGCACGGGCACGGCCGCAGGGGATGTGGCGTTTCCCAAAGGCAAGGAGAACCTGGCATCCGTGCTCAAGCGCTACAAGAGACGCCTGGGGGGCAGGCCGTCGGGGGGGCAGGGGGGAGCAGGTGGGGGGGCAGGGCATGCAGGTGGGGGAGGAGGGGGAGGAGGTAGGCGATATTGAGGCGGGCGGGTGGGGGGAGGCGTTTCATTGGAGTGCAATGGAGTTTAACCAGGCATGCAGACGTTAGCACGGGTCCAGCAGGGAATGATGGCCTTCACCCATGCCATGAGTGACGACGACAGATCAACATTATTGCGCATGGATGGATTGTTTCGTTGGTGAGATCTGTAACATGATGATACCCGCAATGCTCAATTGCCTTCTGCATTGTGTTTTCAATGGTCCTGTTTGATCATTGGCTATGCCGTTAAAGTAGCTCTAGGCTAGGATACTAGGCAGGAACAAGGCCGCCATGAATGTGGCGGCGGGGTTTAGCTAGGAGCTGGACGAGAGTGTCGAGAGAGAAGAGAGATTGGATTAGGAAGAGAGAGGAGTACAAGGAGGGGTTTGTACCCCCTACAGAAAGGTTCAGTAACAACCTACCAAGCCTATATTAAATTATAACTTATATAATTTGAACATATGCGTTGTGCTTGCTTGGCTCTCTTGAAGCACTTGGTCCTGTTGGGATGCACAACCTCCTCCAACTGCAGAGCCTCTTCTAAAGACGGCACACACATATGGATATCATAATATGCACATCAGAAGCAGGTTGGGTTGCTGTACAAAGAATCAGGTGGGTGAGGGCCGGGCTACCCATGCTACCAGTGCTTGGGCACCCAGAACACCACGTGCAGGATGCTTGTCACAGCCTGTCTGGCAGCCGACAGCACACTGGACGCCAGCCAGAACCCCGGCAGCCCCACGCGGTACACTGAGTTGGCGGCCCCCATAGCGCGCGACAACACCTGCAGGGTGGTGGCGAGGGATGGGGGAGTGGGCGAACCAAAGGGATGATTGAGACACGGCTTGTGTGCCGCTGCACTAGAGCCGTGCAGTGGGGACAGCAGCGGACAGCGCACCGTGGGCAGCAGGGCGAGGCGTGCGGACCACGCGTAGAGCGCGCCGATGACGGGCAGCTCGGCCACGAGCGGGTCCACCTGGAAGAAGTTGCTCTGCTCCGCGATGCGCCATACCGCCCTGCCGCCGCTGCCACTGCCACTAACATTACCGGCACCACCGCCAGTGCCGCTGCCACCCTCTGCCGCCGCCCTGCCAGGCTTAGACGCCGCGGCTGCTGCTGCGGCGTTGCTGCCGTCGCCCCAGGCGAGTGGCTCCTCGTGTCGCTCGAGGCGCAGCACCGCCACCATGTGCAGCTGCCGCGTGGTCAGCGGTGCCAGCCATGGCCGCACGCACAGGCTGCCGCGCACCACCAGGCGGTCCGGGCGGGTGACGTCGTAGATGACATCAGCGACAGTGAAGTACCAATAGATGGCCGTGACGCTGCGCAGCTGAGGGGAATGGGGCGCATGGGTCGGATGGGGCGGATGGGGCGGATGGGGCGGACGGGGCGGATGGGACGGATGGGGGGGGACGCGGGGAGAATGAGATGAGAAGGGCACATGGTGTTGCGCAGTGATCGCCGTGGGGGAAGGATCTCTTGCGAGCGGGATGGAAACAAGAAGGAACGATCGTGCGAATGCGCGGCGATCCGCCAAAGGTCTCCCTCAAAGAGATCGTCTCAGCTGGCGTGACATCTCGACGCACCCAGAAGAGGTGCTCGATGGTCTGCGCGGAGTGGCACGCGAGCAGCGGCTGCTGCAGCACGGCGCCCGGGGAGAACACGCGGCGGATCGTGGCGGCCTGCAGCGCCAAATCCGCGTTCTGCACGATGCGGTGGATCGCCCCCCCCACCTCCTCCGCCGGCCTCTCCATGCGCTCCGCTCCACCTCGCTCCCCCGCACCGCTTCCCTAGCAGTAGCCTAGTATCGCAACACGCCTAGCGTGCACAAATGCCGCGGATCGAGCCTCGATCACCGCCCCCTTCGGAAAGCCTGCTGCCGCAGTCGCTCCTGGTGTGCCTTCCAGAGCCTCCCAACAGCCAGCAGCCACTGGGTCGTCGCTTTCCGCGAAATGGCCGCAATGACCGTCGCGTGCAAGCAGTTCTCGAGCGGAAGGCGAGCAGCGCAGATAAGAGTTGAAGGGGTGTGCTGTGCCCACGAACACGAGGGGGGAGCAGCAGTGCATACTGAAGGGGCCTGGAGAGGAAAGCACGCAAGGATGGGAGAGCAGAGGAAAGCTCAAATTCCAATGACGGGAAATGTTGATCCCCACGATTCGAGACATGCAACGAATCGGTGCTGAACACGTGGCTGAAGTAGCAAAATTGTTGTGCAATAATTGAAATGATGGACTGGGCTGTGTACAGTTACACAATTGTCTACCCTAGTATTGTTATACAATTTTCCAAACCCATCCCGCTTTAAGGCGCGCCGCAAATTTTCGCAGACACTCGTATGCGTCTTTCGCTCACCCAACCACCTCGTCACGAGTCAATCACCGCTGCATCCATGTCGCGCCGGCCGCGCACTTGTCCGCGGACGGGCCTCTCCGCCTCCCTTTCCGCTCCCCACTCCGCTTCCGCCGCCGCTTCCCCTTCCGCGCCCCCCTTTCCGATCCACGGGGAGCTGCTGGCGGGCGTGCTGGCGCGGCTGGACCCGCTGCTGCTGCTGCGCGCGCGACTCGTGTGCGCGGAGTGGTGCCACGTCATCAGTTCCTCGCGCCACCTGTGGCAGCGAGTGGTGCAACGACAGGTGGCACTGGCCGATAGGGCAGGTGCAGGGCCTGAATTTCTTACAGGGGGGCGGGAAGGGGAGAACGTAGGGAGCGGAGCGCAGGGGGGAGGAAATGCGCATAGTGGGGGGAATGAGGCGGCAGAGAGGGGAAGGGGGGGGAAGGTGGAGAGAGGAACAGAGAAGGGGCCCAGGGAGAGGGGGGTTGGGGGCGGGGGAAGGGAAGCGGGGGAAGGGGAGGAGGTGGCAGCGGGGGGGAGGGGAGGGGAGGAGGTGGAGGGGGTGGGGAGTGAGGGCGTGCGGGCGGCAGTGGGGGTGGCGGTGGGGGCGGAGCAGAGGAGGCGGTTTGAAAGGGGCGGGGTGCAGGTGTGGGTGATGCGAGAGCACACGCGGGGGAGGTGAGAATGAGGGTGCGGGATGTGGGAGAGGAAGGGAGGCGAGGGGAATGAGGGGAGGAAGGGGAGGTGGGCAGGTAGCTGGAGATACAGATGGTGCATGTGATGGACGCATGGTGGGAATAACACGGGATTTTGTTCTATTCCTCCTCATCCCCCATGGCCCATGACCCATGCCCCATGCCCCATGCCCCATGCCCCATGCATGGCAGGGTGAGCAGTGTGGCCATGCGGCATGGAGTCATTGCCACTGGCGGCTCTGATGACGTGGGTGCTCCTGCTGCTCACATGCACATGCATGCACAGCCGACCATGCGCACTGCTGCCATGTGTGCTGCTGCCATGTGTGCTGCGGCCATGTGTGCTGCTGCCATGTGTGCTGCGGCCATGTGTGCTGCTGCCATGTGTGCTGCGGCCATGTGTGCTGCGGCCATGTGTGCTGCTGCTTCCGTTTCCCACTTGCTGCATGTTCTGAGCGCCATCCCAGATGCCGCCTGGCCATCTCATCCCTTCTTGAAATCTCTTGCCTCAATCGTCAGCACCCCCCTCCGTCCCTGCCACTCCTTCCTTCCCTGCAGTGTGTGCGCCTCTGGCAAGTGCGCGCACCCTCCTCCCCCTCCTCCGCCCGCTCTCCACTGCCAGCCGTTACCCCGCCGCCATCGCCCTCCCCTGTGTGCCGTCAACTCGCCTGCTTCCCCTCTCCAGCTGCTCAGCCAATCACAGCCGTTGATCTGACAGACATCATGGTGAGCCGTTGATGGGCTCCAATGGGCACCCCAATCGCACCACCCCACCATCCAGTGGCTCTCTCAATCCTCCTCCTCACGCCCCTCCTCCCCTTTTCCTCCCCTCTCGCCTCCCCTTCTCCTTATGGCTACTTTACACATTGCCTCTGTTTCCCTCTCTCACACCCCTCTCTCACACCCCTCTCTCACACCCCTCTCTCACACCCCTCTCCTTACCCCCCTTTCACACCCCCGCGCCCCCCTCACCCCGCGTCTCCTCTCCTCTCCTCTCCTCTCCTCTCCTCTCCTCTCCTCTCCTCTCCTCTCCTCTCCTCTCCTCTCCTCTCCTCTCCTCTCCTCGCCGCGCCTCCCATCCCTGTAGCTGCTCGCTGCATCAGGCTCCCAGGTCTTCGCCTGGAACAAGGACAGTGGGAAGCTGCTCAGAAGCTTCGGCGGCCACCACCAGCGCGTTCGCACGATGAGGTGAACACATGAGCTCTTCTTTCCCTCTGCTGCTTTCCCTCTGCTGCTTTCCCTCTGCTGCTTTTCCTTTGCTCCCCATGTGTACCATGTCTCATTCGTCTAGCGCCATGATGCTTCCACTCTAATCACCGCCACTAGTGCCCTCGCCACCCTCTCTCCCCACCTCACATCGCTCTCTGCAGCTACGACGACACAGACCTACTCGCAGCATGCGCTGACGGCACTGTTCACATGTACGACATCTACAGCGGCAGCACTGCGCAGATCCTCCGCCCGCACGCGCGCGCTGTGGCAGCCATGAGCTACAGTGCCAGCATGGGTCTGCTGCTTTCGGGCGGCACGGATGGCACTGTTCACCTGTCCGACTGCCACTCCTCCCTGCACCTGCACACCCTGCTCTTCACCGACCCCTCCCCAGGTACCACCATCCCCTGGTACCACCTACGGCGGGTAGATACCACCCTCCCCAGGTACCACCTACGGTAGATACCACCATGGTAGACAACAGTTTTGCACTGAACCTTTGTGCCTCAAAGCAGTTCCAGTGTCCTTTTCCTCCACACTCCCTCCCCTGTCTCCCTTCCGCCCTCCCTCCCCCCTCATTCCCTCCCCCCTCATTCCCTCCCCCCTCCTCATTCCCTCCCCCCTCCTCATTCCCTCCCCCCTTGCAGTGACCTCGGTGCTGCTCTCTGCGCCCAGCAACCGGGTGATGGCAGCATCAGCATCGGGCATTCTGCGCGTGTGGGACCTCAGGTGGGGCCTGGCCACGTGAGCGTTAGGAGGGAGGTCGGATGAGCTATCCATTGCGTCTCACGCCCATTCAAACGGACCATGCCGTTCTATGAATGCCTGTCTCGCCTGCTCTCTCCTCTCCCCCACCTCTCTCCCCCCCTCTTTCACCCCGCTTACCTTCCCATCTCTCCCACGCCCTCCCACCCCCACCTCCTCAGATCCCCATCGCACACTCTCATGACTGCCAGCATCTCCCCGCCCACCCACACCACCCTCGCACTCCCCTCCTCCACACTCGCCCTCCCGCCTGTCCTGCTGACAGCTGGTTCCACGGGATTGGTCCAGGTCCTGGATACCGCCTCCCTCTGTCCCCTTCGCCGCCTGCGCCGCCCACCACTGGCTGAGCTGGCACTGGGCAGCGGGTCGGCAGTAGCCTTGGAGGTGGAAGGGCGTGGTGATGCAGGGGGGAGGCCGGGCCTGGGGCAGCCAGGGTCGGGCACGAGGCAGGATGGAGAAGCCAAGGGGCAGGCTGGGCAAAGGCAGGTGGGAAGGGGTGAGGGGGGAATATCACGTGCCGCCCCAGTGCCAAGTGGGACAGCTAATGGTGTACGTGGCAGGAGTGTGTCAGAGGTGTCAGGGGTGACTGGCATTGCTGCAAGAACATCCACTTTTGTCACGTCACACATGGATGGAACTGCCACCTTATGGCTTGTTGGTTTTTAGTTTTTCTAATGTGGCTTCGTCCATTGCTGCCACCCCGTACACACCATCTACGTATTCGAGTTGGTGCAGCTAACCTGGGTAGGGTACTTCTTGGGTGAAGAAGTTCTTTGGGTGCACAAATGAGCTGGCATGGCTCAAAGACTTCACGCTTCAATTGCTGCAACACCTCTCTACCATTTTACATTTCAATTAGCATGTGACGTTTCTGAGATCCAATCTGATTACCACTTCATCTGGAGGGGATGTTCCTACTGAAGTTAAGAATCACCAAAGTTGTCTTCTTCCTTACACTAATGGCGGTAGGGCTGAACACAGAAGATGCCTGGCCATTTAGAGAGCTCCTTTGCTACTACTGGTACACGTTGGAGCACGAGTAGGACCAACCATGTGCAATCAGCAGATGTTTCTTGAAGACATGCTGCAGTTAACAAAACAGCTACTGAGTGTAAATCTCAACTACGTTACTCAAGATAGCAATGTCCAAATTGCGAAAGAGCTGTTTGCCTACAAATGATGAGGGCATGTTTCGACCAAGCATTCCCCAAATCATATCTTCAGAAACAGCTCACAGCTCGTCATGGTCAGCCGCCTGCAATGATCAATAAACGATGCTCGTGAGTGCTTGCCGGCGGACAGAGGAATTGCGGTTGACACTACGTGAAGGACACTTCAGATGATGCACAAGTCAAAGGCTCACCTCAGCCTTGCCCTCCTCCTCATCCTCTGCGTCAGCAGCGTCCTCCGCAGCCTCTGCTTCAGCATCCTGCAATCAACGGCCCAACATTCAACATCCATCAGACTAACTCCAATCATTACTTTCAACTAAATCAGGCAGCATCCATTCCCAAGTGAAGCGAATGTTCCAAGCAACTTGAGCTCACCTCATCGTCCGCGTCGGCATCATCATCACCAGCATCATCCTCCTTATCCTCCGCCTCCTTGGACTTCTCAGCCTCGTCATGCATCTTTTTCTCCTCCTGCATCACGCAATTACTAGCACTACGTCAGCTCTCCCCCATAATGAAACCCCAATTGCACACAGAACATTCACTTCATTCACTTACCGCCTTCATTGCGCCCCATGTATCCTCAGCGAACTTGCGAGCATACTCAGCATCGTCAGTGACAAGAATGTTGTCAAAGATGGTGCCTGCCTTCACCTGCAATGGCGGCACATCCCGTTGACACTCATTAGTGAGGTTGGCTCCCATAGAAATCAGTATTGAGACACAAGCGCAGAGTGTTTTACATACCTGCCAGATCTCAATACCAACATAACGCAGGATTGGTAGACGGTAGGCCTCGGGCTTCTCCACGTACTCTGCAAGACCGGATTGCACAACGTTAGGACCCGTACGGCCCGAGGTAACAGCCACCACCCGCGTACCACAACCAATCTAACGCTTACCAGGGTTGTCGATCATGGGAGGCTTCCACTTGCCCTTGTACGCGGGGTTCTTAATCCTCTGTAGCCAAAAAAAAAAAAAGGGCAGAGAGCGACGCCATTAGAAAGTCAAACGCATGGACGTCGCGTTTAATACGTAGGGCAAATCTTACAAAGAAGAAACGCGTTCGTGTTCTATGTTCACTTGACTCCAAAATAACGCATCAAGACGAGATTTTCCAGGAACGTACCTTGGGCTTCCATTCGCCCTTGTAGTCGGGGTTGGGGATTAGAGGAGCCTCCCATTCACCATCATCCTCATCGTTCCAGTCCTCGGGCTGAAAACAAGGACAGGATATGCAGGATCACTTGAGTCAATTACGTTCGGTTCATTTGTACGATGGTATGTGTCTGTCAGTTCCGCATACTCGCAAATACTCAAAGTGATCATCAACCAGATGCTCACCTTCTTGGCCTCGGGATCGACGATCTCCGCGGGAATGTCATCCCAGCCCTGCATGATCAAAGGGAGTAAGACGAAACAGAAGTTGAGACCACGCAAAAAAAAAGGTTCAGGATTCCGGATAACACAAGAATTTGTTGGATTGAGATCGAGTAGCCGAGTGATCAAGCGACGTACATCGGGCTTATTGTCCTCGGGATCGTTCATGTACTCGTCTTCAACCCAGTCCTCGGGCTTCTTGACGGACTTGTCGGGAATCTGGCGAGGCTTCAGGAAATCCCACTCTGCAAAGATGTCGCCGCCAGACTTCTCGACGTTGTCGATCAGGATCTTGTAGGTGTTGTTGGGGCTCAGGATGAAGGTGTAGACGTGGGAGAGGGTGTCGGTCTCGCACTCCACGTTCTTCTTGATTAGCATGTTCTTGGCCTCGTGGGTGATGATGGCGTGGACCCTCTTGGTAGAGTAACCACAGATGTCCGGGCCGAACATGATGCTGCAATCATGACAAGAGCCAAGGTTAAAGACCTTTTCATTCATGTTGCACTTGCATAATGAACGGAAGAACGAAAACAATCGGATACCTGTAAGGAATGTCGCCACCGAAGTGGCTCTGGTCGACCTCTCCTTCCAGGAGCTTGATGTAGCCACCGCCACAGTCCAGATCCTGCTCATGCTTCACTTGGAATTGAAGAATGAGGTCCTTGTCCTTGTTGTCGAAATCCTCGATCTTGGAGGAGATGGCGAAGAAACGGGCGTCGGGGTACGTCTGGATACCTGCAAAGATACCCACCACCAGTCAGCTACTTTCAAGCATTACACATATAAAATGCGTGAGTACAGCGACAGAAGACTTGCCTTTATCCTCAGGATCCTTGTGGTACTTCCCAGCGGTGTGCTTCCATTCTCCCGCGGCTCCCTCCGACTTCTTCCAGTCCGACACTACCCACCTCGACTGCCATGTATCTGCACAAGCACGGCGAATGCGCTCAGATCTTGCCAAAAGGCTCAATGGCCCAGCGATGATGTCTGGCAAAACAAGTGTCAGCAGCAATCGCGCCAGTACTACGAGCTACACTACTGCACCTACCGTCGAACTTCTCTTCGAAGTAGACCTTAGCTGAGACAGCTAGGCAGAGAGCCAGAAGGCACACAAATCGAAGAGCGTACGCCATAGTCGCTAGGCTAGGAGATCCAACCCCTCCGAGCAGAAAGATGCGAATTCAATGCCTGGATCACAACATAAGAGGATCCAGTCCTGGGGGGAGAGCGGGCATTGAGGTGTGGTGGGTGGGTGGTTGGTTGGCTGGGTGCATCTAGAAACTCGTGCTGAGGCAAAGCTCGAGGAACACCGACAGCTGGAACTGGTTTTGGCGCCAAAGGCGAGTCAACCACTCAGCCGTCGACATGGCTCGCGTGGGCCAATCACGAGAAGCGAACCACGTCAAAACGAGCATCCAGAAGGTGAGCGAGATAACCGTCGATCTAGTCGCAGACGGATCCGAGGCCGTTGGTTACAGCTGAACTTGCAAAGAGGTGTCGCATGGACTTCCACTTCTGCCCCTGACAATGTTAGGGCTTCTGGATCTGTGTACACCAATATAGCACAACAAAGCTCGTTTATACACGAAGAGAGTTTTGTTATACACTACACCGGGGCCGCTATAATGCACTACTTCTGCGATCACTGATGTGGCACCGTCTCCATGTCAGCTACATTGTGCCTGAGAAACCGAGAGAGCTGGAGGTCACCACAAACTTGTCGCTGCCGCGTGGAACAAAGGCTCACTTCACCTATGATCCCAATCGACATCTTATATCGAAGGCTCTTGTCCAGCAGTCTCGGGAGATCAGTCTTCGAGCCCCCATTCCAGCGTGGCATCCTGTTCTACGGCCTGTGTTGCAAGTCCTCAATTATTCCCCAGAATCCAGCGTGGCAGCCCCGCACCACCGCGCAAAGCACTCCATGTGGCCCAACAAGCCTCCAACCAAGCATCCAGCACGCGCGCCTCGCTTTGTGTCGTGCAGCTGGGGCTAAGAGGGGGAAGAAGGAATCTGGCAGGGGGCAAGCAGCAGCACCTATCCATCCTTCAAATTCCTCCACCAGAATTTATTCCAGTTTAGCATTGTGGGTCGTAACCAGACGAGGAAATCAAGTTAATTCCTCCTCCTCCTGCCTCCTCGTGCCCGTTCCAGCGACGCCATGGCTGCCATCGCTCACTCCGCGTCGCTTCTCTGCGAGGCCTCCCTCGCTGCCGCGCGCTCGGCCGCCTCCCTGCCGTCGCACTCCGGCCTTAAGGCCGAGCCCCGCGTGGCCGTCCGCAGCCTCCGCGCACAGCGCGCCAAGTCCAGCAAGCGCGTGACGGTGCGCGCTAGCGCGGGCGCCGCCGTGGAGGGGTTCGAGGTGGCGGCGGTGCCGACGGCACCGATCGAGGGGCAGAAGACGGGGACGAGCGGGCTGCGCAAGAAGGTGAAGGTGTTCCAGGAGCCGCACTACCTCGCCAACTGGATCCAGGCGCTCTTCGACTCTCTGCCCGCCGAGGACGTCAAGGGCTCGCTGCTCGTGCTGGGCGGCGACGGCCGGTACTTCAACCGCGAGGCCGCGCAGGAGATCATTAAGATCGCCGCCGGCAATGGCGTCGGGAAGATCCTCGTCGGCAGGTGCGTAACCTGCCCTTGTATATCGTGCCTCATTCCTGCGCTGCTTTTTCTTCCTCTGTTGCTCGCCACCCTCTCGTCTGGCCCCCACCCCGTCTCCCCCTTCCACCCCGCCCGTGCGTGTTTGGCTTGACCCCTTCCTCTTTCGTCTCCACGTCCCTCCGCCCCTCTTCCTCTCACGTCTCGTTTCGTCCCCCCCCTCTCCGCGCTTGTGCGCGTGCGCAGGGACGGCATCATGTCCACGCCCGCCGTGTCTGCTGTCATCCGCAAGCAGAAGGTGAGGGTACCGCCGGGCATGGCATGGCTGGTGGATTTTATTGCGTGCCACGTGTCGCCAGGCGCGAAATTGAGCCATACAATCGAGGATTTTTCACGAATTTCTACCTGGCTTCTCACCTCCTGCCACGGTTCCCCTCATCCTTTCCCCCTACTGCTCCGCATTTCCCCCTCCCCCCGCGTGCAGGCGTACGGCGGGTTCATCATGAGCGCGTCGCACAACCCCGGCGGCCCCAAGTACGACTGGGGCATCAAGTTCAACTACAGCAGCGGCCAGCCCGCGCCCGAGTCCATCACCGACAAGATCTACGGCAACACGCTCGCCGTGAGTCCCGCAACACGCTCGCCGTACGTGCTCGCTCGCTTCCTCGTAGGTTCCACCATCCCTTGTGAACCCACGTCAGATAGGCGCATTTGCTTATTCCTCATCGCCGCTTTCTCGGTTTTTCCCTGCTCCCCTCCCTCTTCCCCGTGCCCTCCTTCCCGCCGTTAGATCAAGGAGATCAAGCAGGCCGTGATCCCCGACGTGGACCTGGCGACGTTGGGCACCACCAAGTTCGGGTCGTTCGAGGTGGAGGTCGTCGACCCCGTCGCCGACTACCTTGCCCTCTTCAAGGTACGCCCCGCGCCCGAGCCCTACCTCTTCACCTGCCAGAACCGCAACACAGAATGGCTACGAGTTCCTCCCCCCCAACCCCCCCGCACCCCCGCTTCCGCTACCCGCTTCTCCGCCCCGTCTATTCAATTCGCGGATTAAACGCCACTCACGTTGCCAGACGCCTTGGTCGTTTCAAACCGAGTACTCACATCCGCCCCCTCTCCCCTCTCTGTTGCCCTCCATTCCTAACGCCCCCCGCCGCCCACCCCCCCAGGAGGTGTTCGACTTCGACCTCCTCCGCGCGCTCGTGGCGCGCCCAGACTTCTCGCTCAAGTTCGACGCCATGCACGCCGTCACCGGCGCGTACGCCAAGCCCATCCTCGTGGACGCGCTCGGCGCGCCCGAGAGCGCCATCATCAACGGCACGCCGCTCGAGGACTTCGGCGGGGGCCACCCCGACCCCAACCTCACCTACGCGGAGGAGCTCGTGAAGATCATGTACGGCCAAGATGCGCCGGATTTCGGCGCGGCATCGGACGGCGACGGCGACCGCAACATGATCCTGGGGAACCACTTCTTCATCACGCCGTCCGACTCCGTCGCCATCATCGCCGCCAACGCGCAGGCCGCCATTCCGTACTTCGCCGCCGGGCCCAAGGGCCTCGCGCGCTCCATGCCCACGTCCGCCGCGCTGGACCGCGTCGCGACGGGGCTGAACCTGCCGTTTTTCGAGGTGCCCACGGGGTGGAAGTTCTTCGGCAACCTCATGGATGCCGGCACGCTCAGCATCTGCGGGGAGGAGAGCTTCGGCACCGGCTCGGACCACATCCGCGAGAAGGACGGACTCTGGGCGGTTCTCGCGTGGCTGTCGATTCTCGCGCATAGGAACAAGGACGTGCCGGTTGGCGGGAAGCTGGTGTCGGTTGGTGACGTGGCGCGCGAGCACTGGGCGAAGTACGGGCGGAACTTCTTCTCGCGGTACGACTACGAGGAGTGCGCGTCCGAGGGCGCCAACGCCATGGTGGCGCACCTGAGGGAGATCCTCGCCGCCGCCAAGCCCGGGGATAAATACGGTGCGTTAGGGGTTGGGTGCGGTGAGGAGAGGGTTGAATGCGGTTTGGGGGAGGGTGGGAGCATGGCGTGGGACACGTGGGGCACGTGGGGCACGTGGTTGGGTTGGGTGACAGGTGGAATGCAGCAGAGAGTGAGAAATGAAAGGTCACAATGAAAGGACTTGTGAACGAGAATGAACCACCGTGTCTGGCCGCTCAGCCAACCCTGACTCACCAGCTGCATGGCCTCGTTGATCATTGCATCCATGCATCCATGCATCCATGCATCCATGCATCCATGCATCCATGCCCCCATGCCGTGCTGCCCCTCACTGCCCCGTCTGCCCCGTCTGCCCCGTCTGCCCCGTCTGCCCCGTCTGCCCCGTCTGTCCCCTTTCCACCGCCTCCCCTTACTGCATACCCCCCATTCCCCATGCCCTCCTTTCCCTCTCCGCGCTGACGCCACGGGCATCGGCCCCATCGCTGGCAGCAGTGTGGCCACTTGGCTTGCCCTCCCACGTCCAACTCTCCCCCCATGCCCCTCCCAATACGCCCACCACCTGCCTCTGGCGCGTACGAGCTGGCTCTGCCAGACGACTTTGAGTGCGTGGTGGGCCCAGTGGACGGCAGTGTGGCCCATGTGCCTCACCCCGCCTTCTCTCATCCCCCCCCCCTCTCTTCAATACCCCGCATCTCACTGCAGGTGCCTACGAGCTGGCCCTGGCGGACGACTTTGAGTACGTGGACCCGGTGGACGGCAGCGTGGCCAGCCAGCAGGGCATCCGCTTTGTGTTCACCGACGGCTCGCGCATCATCTTCCGCCTCTCGGTAAGTGCAGCCTGGGGGCTCAGATCAATGCACTCACACCACTCCACGCACGCCTCGCATGTCGCCTCTTGAGCACGCACTGGTGGCAGCCAGCAGGGCGTCCGCTTCGGCTTCATCATATTCCGCCCCTCGGTGCGTGCAGCCCGAGGGTTGGCAATCAGTGCATGCCAACCCATGCCCCAATGTCTGTATGCGATCATCCCCTCGCACACCCACTCGCCAGGCATCCGTTCCCCATCCCCATTCTCCCATCTTCTCATCGGCATGGGCGCCACCATCCGCCCCTTTGTCCACTGCTCCGAGGTGCATCTTCATGTGTATTTTGAGTCAACTCAAAATGCTCCAAGGTGTATCGTCGTGCATCCCATGCACCTGTTCTCCATCCACCCTTTCCCCCGTTCTGTCATCCATCAGGGCACGGGCAGTGCGGGCGCCACCATCCGCGTGTACGTGGAGCAGTACGAGCCCGACGTCGCTCGCCACGGCCTTGATGCTCAGGAGGCCCTCAAACCCCTCATCGGTGAGCCCTCAAGACACTGCACCTTGTCCCAACATGTACTCTTCTTTGCCTGTACACAAGCCAGTTTCCGAGTCCACGCCACGTCTGCTCCCTGTCTCTCATGCACTGTGTGCCCGTGTGCCTCTCCCTCTCTGCCCCGCCCTGCCGTGCTCCTTCCCAGACATTGCGCTGTCGGTGTCGAAACTGCAAGAGTTCACGGGCCGCGACAAGCCCACTGTCATCACCTAGAGGCCATGCCACCCCAACCGCCTCTCCCAGCTCTCCTCTAATCGCTCTCCAGTAGATCTGCTTAGTGCGTTCGACCCAGGTCCTGCAATAAACGCTGGATCTCTTGTATGATTTGGTGCATTGAAT